AAAAAGGTGAGTCTAGAGAAGAGGTCACTTCATAAAAATTTCTAAGTTCATCTTGTACTAAATAAGTATAGAAATCATATCCAAAGGAGGTTTCCTTTCTTTGCCTTTTACTTCTCCGTAAACTTTCTACTATGTTTTCATTTGAGTTTTGCTCAGCAGAATTTTCAACAATTCTAGGGATACGCTCCGCTTTCAAAGGAAAAATATGTTCAAAAAATTCTGCATCTTTAGTTTCAATAATAGTATTTTGACCCAAAACATCACTTTTTAAAACCATAAAATGATAAGCGGTATTTTGCTAAGTATACTCGATAAATAAGCAATCAGTAGTTTTAAAACCTATCTTCCTCTTTTTAGGGTCTGGTAATAGAACTTTTGCAAGGCACCCCCACACTTTTAAGTAATTAAGACTAGGTGCAAAGCCTTTCTATAATTCACAAGGAGTTTTATTTGTTTTTCTATAGGGTATTCTATTTTGTAGAAAACAAGCAGACAAAATGGCTTCTCCCCAAAGGTTATCTGGTGCAACAGAGCTTACAAGTAAAGCATTCATCATTTCTTTTAGTGTTCTATTTTTCCTTTCTGCAAACCATTAGATTCTGGGGAATATAGAGGAGTTACCTCATGAATAATTCCTTCTTTTTCACAAAAGTCATTTAATTGTAAAAATTCTCCTCCTCTATCAGATCTAACTCATTTAATTTTTCTATCTAATTGATTTTCTACTTCAGCTTTATATGAGAGGAATTTTTCAAAAGCCTCGTCTTTATTTCTTAACAAATATAATTTTATATACCTTGAAAAATCATCGATAAAAGTTACATAATATCTTTTACCACATCTAGTCTCAGTTTGTTTCAAATCACCTAGATCAATGTGTATTAAGGATAACAACTCGGTTTCTCTTTGAGTAAGAAAATGTAATTTTTTTTATGTTTTGTTTTTGCACATACTTCACATTTATTAAGAATATTATTTTTAATCCCTGATATTAGCCCTAGATGATAAAGCCTTTTTATATAAGATTTACTTATGTGTCTTAATCTAGCATGCCACATATCAAAAGAATCAATATAGAACACAGGCAAGTAAGCAGAAGAAGCATTTCCATTCATTTCAGCAATGTTTAGTACAAACAATCCTTGATTACAATAGCCCTTCCCAACAAGAACATTATTCTTTATCATTACAATCTTGTCAGATTCGAATCACACCTTAACCCCAGCTTTCCCTAACAGATCCACAGAAATAGGTTAGCTCTAACATCAGGCACGTACAGAACTTCATTCGGTGTTAAGGTCTTTCCAGACGTGAGTTTCAGGACAACTTTTCCTTTTCCCAGAACTTTTGTGGTTCGGGAATCAGCCAGATAAATATGGTCTTCTCCTTTTTCAAATGAGGTGAACATGTCTTTATTTGCACAGATGTGACTGGTAGCACCTAAGTCTACTACCCACTTCCTCATATCGGAGATCACAAGGGCTTGTGAGACAACAACAATAATCTCATCGTCATCTCCTTCCACCAAATTTATGTTTGGCTTAGGAGGATTTCTACCTTTACGGTTATTGTTTTTACTAGCCCTTTTCCTGCACTGAGTTGTGTGGTGACCTGGCTTTCCACACATAAAGCAATCTCCTTTCTTCTTGAATTTGGGGTTAGAATCATTAGGCTTGTAATCAAAGTTTTTATTTCTAGGTTTAGTGTTATACCTCCTGTCATGCGGCTTTACTTCTACCAAATTTGCCTTTGTTGCCAACTCCTCTCCTTTAACTGTCTGGATTGCCTTCCGGTTTGTGTCCTCAACGATGATGTGCATGTCCTCAATGATGATGTGCGTGATTAGGTCTGATAGTGAATGTTGCTTTTGTTATGCTTCAGTTGTTGCTTATAGTCATTCTATGAGTTTGGCAGCTTTTCGATCAGGACCCCAGCCACAAACTCATCTGGTAAATTTATCTTCTCAGCTCGAAGCTCTTCCAGTAGCTTATGATATTCATTGATTTGAAGTTTTATATCCTTCTCTTCATCCATCTCCCATTTGCAAAAGTTCCCAACCACGAACTTTTGCTTTCCAGCATCCTTAGCAATGTACTTCACAATCAGTGACTCCCATATTTTATGTTCCTCCTTGTATACACAGTAGACATCAAACAAGTCATTAGATAAAGTGCTAATGAGTGTATGTCGGCAAACCTTATTGGCATTTGCCCAAGCAATCTTCTAGGCTTGGTCAACATTAGTGGGGGGTTTAGGTTGGGTAAGAGCAGCGACAACTCCATGCATGTCAAGGACAATGTACACACGTTCCTACCACCGTTTGAAGTACTTTCCATCGAACACATCAATCCTGGAGACATCTAGGAATGGCCTGGGTAGTGGCACTACAGTGAAGACCGGGGCATAGGCAACATTGACAGTAGGGTCAGTGTTCCTAACAACAGCATCATTATGGGTCTCCATAATAACTCTTAAGATTGTTGAGGAAACTGGAAGTGTGTATCAGCTTGGTCCGAGTCGTGCCGATAAACCCTGTCCTTAAGAGTTATTCTGCCACCATAGGTAAACGTGAATGCGGCACTCCCTAGGATTAAACGAACCCTTCTTGCAGAAAACAGGGTGACTGAATAGCAGAAAAATATAACCCAACAGCATAGAAACACAGAGAGGGAAGAAGAGAAACACAGAGGAGGAACAGATGCTCGAAAACTCAAGAGCGGGGTGCAAAAGACACTATCCTAGACAGCTTTATATAGGCCTCGGGGACCTAACTGTTGGGCACCACCATAAACACGATTAACTCGTCGGTTTCATATGTTACTACAATAATCTGTAATTATACCTTCGATTATGAACATTGGGTATGTTTAAGAAATAAATTCCAGACGTTACCAGATATCAATCCACGAGAAACGGTTTAAGGATTAATGGAGGATTAATCATGGTTTGAAAAACTCCCAACATTCAGTAAACTCCCAACATTTAGTAACCTTCGGCTGTTACAAAAATAAACAGTCAAAAGAAGGATTTTCTGATAAGCTCTCTTAACACCATTTTATAAATTTAATTTTGCAAAAATGTTTTATAAAAAGTGCCCGGTACTGTTCTACTTCACGCGCAGGGGGGAAATCGCCAGTTTTCAACTGTTTCCCTCCAGTGGGCTGTTGTCGTGTGCGCGAGATCCTCCTTCTCCTCTAGGCCCATTCACTAGCCCAATAATGTATGATAGTATTTATATACTTGACCTCTCTTTCTCTTGGGCAACGTGAGATTTCACTTTTGACACACTCTTTTACATACACAACAGAATTATGGTTAGTAGCAAACAAAAGCAAATGGAGGAAGGGAAGGACACCTTGTTCATCATCGATATGAAAGGTATCTTCTGCTCAGTCTTCAAACTCCGCTATCAGCAAACTCAGTCCTCTCAAACATCTGTCAAGAGTTTGTTAACAATTTTAAAGGATAAGGGCCAACGGATGTAACAATGAAAACCCAAAGGAGCTTATTTAAAAAAAAACTTCAAGGACTTGATTAAAAATGACATAAAATTAGAAGGACCCCAAATAAGTTTTCCCTTATTAATTTCCAAATTCAAAGTCCTCTAGTGTTGGCCAAAAAAGGGGAAATTTCAAATAGCCCCACTATAACAATTTTATTTCTAGGAGCCCCACAAAAATCTGAAAACTTCAGTGCAACTTAGCAAGGCAAACTGAAATTAATTTTTCCAGTAAAAAGATGTTGCCCCTGAAATATTGTCAGTGGGAAAACGCCTGCGAACAACCAGAATAAGTAAATTTACAACGGAAAATAGAAGGATTCACCTTATTTGTTAGTGTCATTACCTCATCTAAGTTTAGTTGCTAATATCCTCTTATTTCTTTGTAAATTGCTCATATAAAACTTATTTTATAGTATAAATTACACTACAAAATAAGTTATACTTTATATATATTGTAAACTCCCTAGCTTAATTGTCAATGTCATTTTCATCCAAGCTTAGTTGTCAATAGCACCCTTATATTTCTTATAACTTTTTCTATTTGTTAGTACATGGGATAATAATGTCTTTTCCCTCCATAAATTAATTTTATTTTGCCCTCATTAGACTGTAGCCAGATTTCAAAATTGTTACAGCATAAAAACTAGTTTTTATCTGAAATTTTTGCCCTCATTACCGCATCATTAGACTTTTTCGTTAATTTTATCTTAAATTTTCCGAAAAGAATTTCTCAAAGAAAAACCAGAAGAAAAGAAATATTTCCTCCGGTCCTTAATAGAAGATCCTGTTTGACTTTTATTTTGATCCTAAATATAAGACCTCAATCCACTTTATCTATCATATTTACTCAATTTTTTTCAAGATAGTCCTTCTAATAATTATAGTTCTAATTAATACACTTGATTAGTAAGGATATTTTAGAAAAGATAACACCTATTTAGGACAAATAACTAACTCAACTTACTTCCTTAATCTCGTCAAATTAGTCAACTGGCTCTTATAATTAGGACCAAAGGTAGTATTACCTCTAATTTTTAATATACAAATTCTAAATATAATATCTCAATTCATTTTGTTTCTTGTATGTATTTATTTTTTAAAATAGTTGTATATGTTAAATGTTGTTAGTTTTAGCTAATAAACTTTCTTAATCTTAATCTAGACAATTAGTTTTTATACCTATCCGGTCCTTAATATATGACCTAATTGTTAAGTTGATTTTAATACTAAATATAAGACCCATTTTTTATATTTATCAATTTTCTCTAAATTACTCTTATGGATACTCCCTTAATCATAATCAAGTAGAAAAGGGAGAGGGGATTTTAAGAAAGATAATTATAGTGTCTTAAAAAAAATGTGTCATATTTTTTATAATTAATTAATTTATCTAATTTTTTTAATCTAATCAAATTAGTTAAATAGTCTTAGATGAGAGAAGTATTAATTATAGGAGGTAACCCATCCAAGCTTCCGAAGCTTCGGTCCAGACGCTGTAGGAAGGGGCGGCACCTCGTCCTCGTCGACTCCAACACTCCGTTGACTAGTCCGAAGAACCCTTCCCTGCGCCAAACCCTAGCTTCCTTAATCGTCTCCTTCTTCTTCTTCTTCTTCTTCTTCTCCTTAGACTTTTCTCTTTCTTCAATCGAAACCCTATTTTTCATCCAACATCACATTTTCACTTTGTCCCCGATGTCCTCCACTACTGAATTATTCTCCACCTTCAAAGAAACCAGCCAATCGGTCATGGCTACGCGTCGTCCATGGCGCCAGCTCCTCGACCTCTCCGCCCTGAGCTTCCCTTCTTCCATCTCCGACGCCACCTCCCGCATAGCCCAAAACGTTTCCCATTTTTTCTCCAACTATACCCTCATCGTTCTCATCATCCTCTTCCTCAGCCTCATTTACCACCCTTTCTCGATGATTGTGTTCTTGATTGTTTTCGCTGGATGGTACTTCCTCTACTTCTCGCGCGATGAACCTGTCAGTGTCTTCAACTTGGCAGTGTTGGACGATCGAGCCGTGGCCATTGGGCTTGGTATAATCACTGTGGTGGCTTTGATTCTGACCCATGTATGGCTTAATGTATTCGTATCGCTAGTGATTGGAATTGCGCTGGTCTGTCTTCACGCGGCTTTTAGAGGTACCGAAGATCTTGTTATGGATGATCAGGAATCTCCGTATGGACCTATGCTTTCTGGTGGTACGGCTGGACCCTATGCCCCTGTATAATTTAAGTTTATTGAACGTTTACTGATCATAGAAGTGGGAGGTACTGTCTTCTGTAGGCTTTTGTTTTTCAGTTTTTGTTCTGTAAAGTCACAGGATTTATCAATCAGATTTGGATTCCAGTTCTTCAATTGTAGATTGATGCTATTCTATTTAGACGATTTAAATGGATTTGGTACCTTCCAACATTTACTCTCTTTTTTTTTGTGTCCTGTTTTTTACTTTTACAATGTTAGTGACTCTGTAATTAGAAATCCATTGGCGGGATTGTTGGTATTTGGAAGGCTGTTTAATAAGGTGGTCTGGTTTGATAAGGACACAATTTCCTGACTCTCTCTTTGTCTTTCTGTTTATCAATGGTTTTCCATTTGTTTGCTTGAGCTTATCATTGGCTGATATCTCTTTCACCCCTAGTTCTTAATTTTTGTGCGCTCATTTAATAAACTGCAAATTTTTACTTGCTAAAATGTTTAAGAAACATCCATCGATTTGCAAAGATTTACTGATTTAATTCTGGTTTTGCTGGAAAATATATAGAAAAGAATGACTGTATCCCTTTGTTAGGCACATTTATCTTACGGACCGAGTATCTGTGATACGTAGTCTTATATGCTAATTGTTTTGAGTATACATATTTGATCAGTTTAGTCAATAGAATCTGACTTTGACTTGTACATTGGATTGAAGAATGCAAGATGAAGAAAATGCTTTGTTCACTTCAACCTTCATCATCTGGCAGGTTTAGGCTATAAATAATTTCTATTTTCTGTCTTAAGGAGAATCACCAGCAGGTAGGTCAAGAATCGCCAAATTGTTTTCAGTGACTAAATGTGATGGTGATGCCTTTGGTTAATTGACTATAATAATCAGAGAGCCTTGCTTTTAATCTTTCATCGTGTTTATTTTTTTTCCATGTTCTCTAATGCTGAAAGAATCATAAACATGAACAATTTTTAATACTTAATATTTTATAAAAATGAGTTATTCGTTCTGCGTTCCACAAAATGTTTTACAAAATTTGTCATGCCTATATGCATATAATTGCCCCAACCAAATATATCTATTGATTGTTAGCTTAGCCAATTGCTTCAACCTCGCATGCTCTTTTACACTACTGGCTAGTATTATAATGTCATTCCAAGGAAGACCTGATTAATACTAGAGGTTATTGCTTTCATGGTTGAAAACTTGTTTATTTGTTACTGTTGTTGTGTCTTGGAAATTTGTCCTAGTAGGACTTGCTGAATCTGCATATTGTGAGATAATTGGTATTCAGAAAACTAGTTATTCAAGACTGTTGATTTGATTGGATAAAGTTCTGAGATTTTCTGCTTATCATTTTTTGGGGGGGGGGGGGGGGGGGGTTGTGAGGGTTTTGTTTTTTGCCTTACCATGTCATCTTTGTGGCCTCTTTATAAGCCTATTTTTATTGGGGAGTTTACTTGTCTAAAGGCTGAATGACGATGCATGGGTATCCAAAGATTTTCTGTTTATGTAATTATGCTGGAAAGGTATTTAGATAAGGAATGAGGATGTATGTTATATGCCTTTGTCAAGCATATGTATGTTACAATATAAATCTGATGTTTAAAGATGCAAAAGTTGTCTCACCCTCCTTTTATATTGGAATATCATCTATCTCTGCATTTAGTTAAAGAACTCTAGATGAAGATGATGCTCAGTTCACTTCCACATTCGTATGCTGTAAGTGATTTCAAATAAAACCTTATTTTGATCTTCCAAAATTGAACCCAACATCAATTGTCCTAGACTGGTAAAGCTGTTGAATTTTTTTTTCCCCCCGGTTGCATCAGGAAGGTTTAAATACTATATCACTATCCATCTTATCCAATTCTTACCACCTGAGCTAGCATTAGATGGCTAAGCGATAGATTGTTGAACATGCTACCTTACTGTCCTGTATTCTTTCGCCAATTTGGTTGTAGCATGATGCCAATCGTATGTTATTAGTGTGGTGAATGATCATTTTTGTGCATTGGAAACTTGTTTACCTAATAGACTAATACAACAGTAAGCATGAGGTTGTTCCTGAAAGATTTTCTTCTGAAGTTCTTATTGCAAAGTGCTTATCTTATGCATCTTTTGTAATTAGGACACTAAACCGTTTTGGTAGGCACCGTCCTATCTTTGGAAGTCACTTACATGTGATGGATAGGACTGTGTTGAAATTGACGTGTCTGTGTGAGACAGGGTTTTGCTTGCTCCAAATTACTTCGTGATAGGAGTTGAATTTCTAACCCTTGTGAATAGAGTAGATTTAGTTTTTTTTTTAAAAATAGCCTCTATTAGAGGTGAAGGGCACTCCTAGCCTTATATATTTATATTTTTGCCACACGTTATATTTATATTAGGGGGGAAAAAAAAACACCTCCAAAAAGTTGGAGGTCACGTTCTGAATGTATGTATGGAACATGTGTAATAACGTAGTGAGTATATTTATCTCACGTTTGGCGTTCGATATTAGGGACTTCATAATTCAGTTTAATGAAAAATTAATAAAATGGGGCTGAGCTTAGCGTCCAGGATTGTTTTTAATGGGAATATGGGATGATATGTGTTCAGTTGAAAAAAAAAGTTAAAACTTCCTACAATAAATGTTAGGTCTAACGCATTCACATTGGTCTTTCGCCCCAAAAGAAATTCACATTTGTGCGTGGACTGGTGATTCAACTAGAATTTTTCAAGCAGTGAACCTAAAAGAAGCCTTTTTGTTTTTGTTCCAAAAACAATAATCCTTGCATTTGATGCTTGCGACCTTCTCATCGGGTTTGGGCCCAATTAGTCATATGACTACGTCGGCTTAATGTTTTGGTGCCGACTCTCTCTAACTCCAAATCAATCGTGGTTAATTCAAGTAAATTATTTTTCCAACTTATATTAAAAAAAAATTAAGTGAATTTAACTAAATTGTGACGGAAAAATTCCAATTAAAAATCCCTTTGACTAATGTATAATATCTCAACCATTTCTCAATCACAAATTCACAACACTCAGCAACTTTTTAGTTTTATTTTTTTGGTGACAAAATGGTAGAAAAAGGTTGGGCTCACTCACAATCCTGTATTAAGACAATTAACCTTTGACCTTAGTCCTACTTAGCGTCGTAACTTTATTGGGAGGGCGAGAGTTCTACATGGAGGATCACATGATGTTACATGTTGAAACTTTAGCTTTGAAGATGTTTTTTCCAGCACCGCAATATGTTCCAGGATCTAACCCGTTCCTTTAGTGACCATATCCAACCCTTTTACCTGAATCAAGGGTAACAACTTTTTAGTTAGGCTTTAGATTCCAACACAATCAACATAGGCCAACACACAATAAGGGTAGATTTTAGGGAGTAGTAGGGATCTCTTAAAAGTGTTTTTTAAGCTAATCCAGATGGACTTAAGTCCACAGTCCACACCAACCTGTGCAGCTTATACAACATTTTCAAGAAGACAATTATTTCAAAATACTTTATATCATGATAATAATTCCAATATCCCAAACACATAAATTGAACCATGGTATTTCCACCAAATCATAAAATATTCAAAACATAACTGTACTATTATGGTTGATGAGTCTAATATACTTAACAAATTCAAAAATCCTAAATGGCAATATGCATGCGATCACGTAACTACACTAGAGAGAGATACATGGTTTATTCAAGTCACTATTCACCAAGCCTCTTATGCTTCTCCTTTATCCTTGCTTGAGCCATCTCTTGGAAAATAGTAATCACGAGATGATACTATAAAATCCCAATAATACATGATCAATTTACCATAATGCAAGCATATATATCACTTTCAATCCTTAATATAAGAGTCAGATAACTAATTTAAAAAGATTAAGAAGATTAGTTAAGTTAGTTAATTGTAATAAATATATTTCGTCTTCTCTAAATTATCCTCTCTAACCTAGTGCGTTGGAATTACCCATTGGTGTGCTAACCCATTACAAGAATTAATAGGGATATTTTAAAGAAAAAGTTATAAATTTAGGAGACAAAATTGATTAAGATCTTATATTTAATATCAAACAACTCTCTAACTAGCTCTTATATTAAAAGTTTTTTTTATTGAAAGATATTGTCTTAACCGTTGGACTACTGACGCAGCTCTTATATTAAAAGGTAAAGATAATATTATGGTTCATAAGATAGCAATGTGGTATTCATAGAACAATATGCTTGATGCAACTTTCCAATATGCCATGAGGTTCCCAATATACAAATTCTTCCCAAACACACTACAATTTTGTCTTATTGGTTTGATCCTTATTGTTTTCTAAACCTTAAACACCTCAAATCGTACCTAAAATTCTCAATTAATTATGACTCAGTTGCACTATAAAAATAAAAATCAGAATGTTACACCAACATTTTTTTTTACCACTAACATTGTAAATTGTAATTCAATTTCTTATTTTTATTTTAATGAAGCAGTATGGCATTAGGCCCATGACTACAGCCCGAACATAAAAAGTATTTAAAAAAAAGAAGAAGAATCAAAATAACAAGGATTCCCCACTCTTATCATTTGAAGAGCTTTGCTTCTCTAAAGCCACAGCAGCATCATGTTGTAGAGATAAATAGAATAGATGTCACTTGCGTCTATCTCTTATATATCTGTGTGTACAGTATTTGAAACTAATACATTAAATTTGAATATCATGTTGTTAAATTTGATTAGAAATAGCTTTTTTTAATGTGATTTTTCTCACTTACAAAATTTAAATTCTCAATATATATTTCTCTTTTTGCAACACAAGACTATGAAAGTTGAGATTGAGTTTGTCACATCGTAATCATTTGTCAACATAATTAACATCCCAATTAACAATTTATGCTCATGTCATTTATTTGAAACACTACCAATATATAATAATATTTATCATATTGGGAGCTCAAGTTGCCCCTAAATTTTTGGTCTACTACTTGCATTCATTATTGAAGGATTATTCAAGTGAAAAGATTTTAAAATATGAGGAAAAATTAGTGCATTCAAGAATAAGGTATTTATATAATTTACTTATATATACATATTTTGGAGTGGAAAATGCTAAGAAATATTAATGAATTAAACGCCATATTTAATAGTTGGATCAAGATTCAACATGATATGTTTCTATGTAACTATGAATTCATTAATACTTGTTTTGGCTCTAAATATATAATCTAAGTTGTAATATAATTTGTACTACTAATTAGGTCTTATGTTTAGAATCAGAAGTTAGTCATGTGGATAACTCTCCGCCAATGAGATACTTTTCCATTCTCAACATACAAACCATAAAGCTTATTTAATTAATCATCATTCACATTAATACCATAATTTAGACAGCAGACAAGGGCACGGTATTTTACATTAAAAGATTCAAATTCTTTAAAAAAAAAAAAGACTTTGATCATTTAAAAAAAAAAACAGGCATAATTATGTCGACAAATTTTGACAAATAGCTGTTGAAAGAAATATATTTTTCCTGAATTATTCTCCATGCCAGCATTTAAACGTTTCATATGAATTGCTCAGAATCTTCATTGAGACATAGGATCTGTCATCTGTCACTGAATAATATTAGGATATCCTTTTGTGGTCTCAAACCCCCTTTTTTTTTTTTTAATATGTTAATATGAATAGCAAATCCCTTAAAATACTAGATATTTTCCTTAAGATGTAGGACATGAGGCTGTCATAATGTCAGATCCAAGAAACCCTTTATGCTTTTGTATGCTTGAATTAATACTTATATATTGACATAAATAATTTATTTATATATAATTTAGGCCACTAGACTATATACTAGTACTGATCCCATCCACCATATTAATTTGGTTCACCTAATTTATAAAAAGAATAGATGCTTATATACCGATTACTTTATTATTATAAATGATTATTTAAGTATTAAAGTTAAATATTTTATCCTTGTAATATTACTCAATTAATTTGGCCCTTAATGATTAAAAAAATTAATTAGTTCCTTCTAATAATCTCAATAAGTGTTGGTTTACTCATTCTTGTTTTTTTTTTCCAAATTTTTATTACATATGTGAGTGAATTTCACTTTATTGTGCATGTTTTTATTATTTTTGTTGTAATAGGTCATACATATTCATGATATAGAAAGATGATATTTAATTATTTATATGAACAAAATTTAATAAAAACTTACTAAATCTTAACAAGAGCTACTAATTTTTTTTCCTTTCAATACTGGTATATCCCTTAGCCAAAAAACGAAGTCTTGAATACTGAGGTTTATTATTTCAAAAACAATTTGAATATTTATCATTTTTAAAGTGGAAATTATTAAAATTGTTAATTCAGTAAAAAAAATTATTATATTATCAATATATTTCCTGATATATACATTGCAGCTTGCAAGCGCTGTACTCATAGCTCTCTCCATTATAGATAGAATTATTGAAACCACATGCACTCACCAACCCTACATATTCACCAATCATCAATATATATTATTAATTTATTATACTTAATTTATACTCCCAAAAAATAAAAAGCTAATAGACAAAGTACTATAAAACTAATATGGCCATAAGTGAAACCTCATCAACATGCACATGGGCTGTTCCCTCTCCCTTTCTTTGGACCATTTAAAAAATTTAATGCCTTTCCTCATAGTACTGCTCACTCATATACATGCATATATATATATATATATAAGTGAAATATATATCTATATATCAGAAGAATATGATGAATAACAGAATAATATTTAAAATTTGCATTAAAATTAGGAACAACAAGCATGACAGCAAAGAGGGATCACATAATAGGAAGCATATAGCAGAAAGAGAGATAACCAAGCAAATTAATTAAAGACATTGATAAAGTGACAATTATAGAAATATAAAGAAACAAACTAGACACAGACTCTATATATATATATATATATATATTTAGAGACAAAGTAGTATTTAATTGGATTTGGCTTCTTAAAAAAGTTGAATATATATAATTACCTCTACATATATTTATGACACAAATTAAAAGTAAAAATACACAGACACATAATCGAAACTCTAAACAAGCATCATCACACACTCTGCTGATTCATCATCATCATCATCGTCTGTCTGCTGCATGCACCAGCAATAATATAAAGTTCTTCTTCTTTTCTTTTCTTGAGTGGTTTTTCATATAATATTTAATTAATAAGTCTTCTCCTTCTTTTCTTTTGGTACGAGACTTTCTTGAAATATTGATGATCAGCTTCTGCTTTTGCATTTTTCCATGGCTCTTGGGGCTGAAAAGTAGAGAAAGATAATAAAGCTCGTGTTAAAAAAGTGAATATTTACTTCTGGGCTGAATTAAAAAACTGAGTATTAATAGGCAATAATATATATATTTCATGGAATATTGAAAAGATTATTTACATACCAAGTCCAATAGCTTCTGATCCTTTCATTATTCGGAGACGCTTGCATGAATCAACGAACATCCTTCAAGCACAAATTAAAGTGATATAAGGTTAATTGGTAAATTCATGGGTTTGAGAAAACTGAGATTATATATGTTTTTGTTAGATCATACATACATACATACATACATACATACATATATAGAGCCTAAAAAGAGAAATCGTACTATTAATGATTTACAAATAGTATGATTTATCGTAAATTTTATAGTTTATATGTATCATGGCACAAGCAAATATGATGTGTGTATAAGTTTAAGGGTCACTTCATATCAGTTCAGAACTTCTCCTCTTTTTTTCTCATCCTCTTCCTTCCTCTTCTTTTTCTAACTATTAGATTAATATATTTTACTGGTTTCGATTTTAATTTTTTATAAATTATTTATAAAAAAAATTAAAACATGTAATGCATTTGCAAATCATTAGAATTAAATTTTAATAGAGTTTGTAATTTATTATTTATTTATTTTATAATTTAATATTTTCATAATAGTTTTTAAAATATTAAAATTTTTACCATTAAAATATTAATCCAACACTTTTTCATATATATGTTGATTTTGTTTGTGATTTATCAAAGTGCATATATAAACTTTTACGAGAAGTTATATCTACATATTCAAATCTTAAAAACCTTAGGATTTAGGTAACTAAACTTTGAAAATGTGATTATTTATAAAAGATCAAATCTGCTACTAAATTTTATGAACAATGCTATCAATCTTTTTTTTTTTAAAGTCATTATTGAATAATATTATAAAAGTAAATGTTAATTGTAATTTTGTAATTAAATTTCTTAAGTAATTAAATCTCAACGGCAGTATCGAGAGCTCAATAATAATAACTGTAATTCACCCCCTCAAACTATCCTTATTAATTGTACATATTGTATGGGGTGATTCCAATGTTAATGGGTAAATGGGTATTTCAAAAAAAAAATTAACGTCTTACAAATAATTAATTTAACTAATTTTTTAAATATACTCAAATTAGTTATTTAGTCAACTCTTATATTTGGGACAGACGAGAGTGATTAATAATTATATGAAATGAAATTAAAAATGGAAAAGAAAAGAGAACTTACTCCCATGGGACATCGCCAACGAGCATCCAATCACCGTCCTTATCTTCATAGGTTGGCACATACTCAGAACTGTTCAGCAGATCCATCAACTTGCTCTCATTCATGAAGTCTATCATTCCTTGGGCCCCCTCATACTTCCCTGTATATATCCATCGTTATTTTGTTTTAATTATATGAAAAAAAAAATTGTTCAACGAGAGGTAACTAAAAAAAGTTAACAAAAGATTATAACTATTTATTAATTAATATAATTACCCATGGTGAAGGAGCTGAACATTTTGGCCAAGGCATCAGAAAGTTGTTGGTAGCTTTTGTACATCTTCAAATCCACCTTCCTAAGGTAAGGTGCACCATCCATACACACCTTCACAAGTGATCCTCCGACAGTCGCCAGAGCTGGCGGCGCCGCCGTCTTCTCCTCAGTATTCCCATCTTCGCTGCTCACCTTCTGTGCCATCACGTTCTTCCTGTATGACCTCACTGGTGGCCAACCCACCACTTGTGCCCTAAACACATATCAACACATCAAACAATATACATCAAAATCATCACAACACTTCAACTTGGTTCACACACACACACACACACACATATCAAAACCCAGAAGATATATATGATAAGCAGTTTGAGAGATGAAATGGATCTGGACTTACTTTGCGGGTGGCTTGGTTGGGTTCTTGTTAGAGGAGGCGATGTTCTTGTGGTTCTGATTGGTGAGATCTTCTTCTTCTTCGCCGGCGGCATCCTTGGAATCATCGGCGGCGAGGTTGAGCTTCAGATCAACAGTTGCGGAGAAAGCTCTCTTGTTACCAGAGGCCTTTGGAGTGACGGCGGCTTCCACCGCCTCGCCACCGACACCGCCGGGTAACCCCAGACACAGCTCCGTCTCCCTCAAATTCAAACTTGCCATTTTCGGCGCACAGAGAAAGAAAAGCCTTTATCAACAAATCTCTCTCTTTAATGCTCTTGCTATGCGTCAAAGTGTTTCTTCTTATAGCTTCGCTAATTCTCGCTCTCTGCTTCTGCTTCCTGTGTCCTCTTCCTCTATTATAATGGTGCTTGGTCTGGCTTTATAATAATGGATGATCCATGAGAGAGAGAAGAGAAGAGAGAGAGAGAGAGACCAATAATATGACTCAGTGGAGCTCGTGCTTGTGGGTGGCTGCATGCTTATGTCAAATCAACTTGCCATCCAATGGAAGGTTGCCACGTGGTGATTCATGGAACGTTGATCTTGAGCGTATTGATGAACAATTAACCTTATTAGGTAACTGAATGCAATTGTTCTGATGCACTTGTTTTTCTTATGAACGTAATGTGCACTGTCATTCCATATATATATATATATATATATAAGTCACTTGTATTATTAAATTGATAAAAAATTTCATATTTGTCCCAATTTAAAAAATTATGTTGAAAAATTATGTTGTACATTTTCTCTTATATGTTTCTTTTATTGTATTTAATAATCAATAGAGGTACAATTAGAAAATTGTCATTAATTAATTTACAAGAGACCTATATTTAGAAATAAACTTGTCTCCAAACGACTTAGGACACCAAGTGGTCGGTATGGAAAACATACAAACAAAATTAACTTAATAAGGGAAGTCATGTAAGATAGAATGAATATATACACATTATATATAGTCTTATTTATAAGTCATTTTTAATAAGAGTGGTAATACAGGTCAACGCATGCATTGCCGGGTTTAGGGGAAAAACTGATCTTTACATAGGGTTTGTGATCATCGACCAATAATGAAGATTAATGTTTATAATTAGGAGTAGTTTTGTAACTTAAAAAGGCTTTGGTAAAACAAAATCTTAAAAAGGCATGCGTTTAAAGTCTCACTTCTAATTTGAGATAATCTTGTTCATAAATAACTTATGAGTATGTTTATAAATGTTCTTTGAATCATAAAAACTGTACTAGTCTAAGTAAGCCCCTAGGAAACTCAACATAAATTTTTATTTATAAAAAAAGGAGTTGACGTTGATATATTTGAATCAATAGTTTATGAACAGTTTTAATATATTAATTATTAATAAGTTGTGTCTAAAAATAATGGACATGAATTGCAAAGTCACATGGACGGCACAAGGTTTTGTTCCTTATATACATGTGTGTGTTCTTAATGGATGACTGGTTTTGTACGCAGTTTACTTCTTGGACGACTAATAAACATATTTGATCTTATTTTGTTTCACCATAACTATGTGATTTTTGTACCATATATGAATATAACTATGTGATTATGCATCATATATCTAGTAATCATAATATCGAATTAGGCTTAAGGAGTATTTGGGATCCCTTAAAAATTTATATTAGCTTTTTAGAAATAATTCTATGAAACTCAAGATAAGTATGTGAGATAAGTTTTATCTCAACTTGCATGAAAAAAATTTTTAAAAGTACTTTTGAGGATACTAAACACCCCCTTAATAATTTTCAGACACAATTCAAACTAATATTTTCAGCATATAATTTTTTTATTGACAAAGTTTGAATTTTTAATCTTATTTAACTAATTATTCAATTAATTTTATAGGACTTTTCAAATTGAACTTCAAGAAAATATTTAGGATTGAAGCTTGCCACTAAGATAATTAATTAATTATAACAATGTTAATTCAATAAAGAAAAGCTATAACACACTGATTAATGATTACTACGCATGACCAACTAAATCAAGAATGCTTCTTATTTAGCTATAAATATCATGTATCATTAGACTATATTTGAACATTATTAAATTAATTTGAGGTAAATTTTTCAAAAGCCTTTTCAAATTTACCGTAGAGGGATTTATTAAAATAATCAGACATGAATAAGTATATAGAAAATGAAAGAAATAGTTATGTGTGTGTGTCTGCACACAATCAATCCATATGATGATTTTTGAATGCTTGATACGGCTATTGTAACTTTTGAAAAATAGGTTAAGGTGTAAATTTATTTATGAAATATTTGCAAATTGCACCTGATACAATAAATTCTACTTAGACACAAAAATGCGAAAATTTTTTAAAATGAACAAAAATGCTACAACTGTTAATTTAATCCAACGTTGGTTACTTTTTGAAGGTGGGGCCCACGTTGTTTTCCATTTGGAGAAGTTATAGACATTAGGTTAAATCAACGGTCATGACATTTTCACTCTATTTAAAAGGTTCATGGATATATTTTTACAACCAAGTAAAATTTATGGTGTCAGATGCACATTCGTGAATATTTCATGAGTAGACTCCTTTTTTATAAATCTATCTTAATGCTTTATTATCTTATATACAATTAATATAGCATAGCTAACTTTTGCCGACAATATAACATAGCTAAGACATAAGATTGAAAAAACTTAAGAGCCGCTTGTAATACTCATGCCAATGGGCGGCATGTGCAGCTACAAGATCAAGCTAAGCAATTCAACAAGGATCTAGCTACACACATATAATTTTATGTTGCCAAAACAATACTACTTTTAATTCTTAATATAAAACCTAACTGACTAATTTAGAGAGACTAAGAAAGTTACTAAATTAGTTAATCATAGTATATATTACATATTTCTTTAAAATACTTATGTATATCATTACATTATATATCAATTAATTTATAAAAGTGACAAATTAGTTTGAAGAAATAGTATTTTCTATCAATTCATGTTCACTTTCTGAAGAAAAAAAATTTAAAACTACAAATCTTGAATGCATTAAGTAATATTAGAGGAAATTAGACCCCAAAAGATGGGTAAGGTGCCCATTTCTCATGAAACAGATCGTTAGATGTTAATCCGAGGTTCTAAATTTTACGAAAAGCACAATATTATTCTTTTCAGTGCAGTTTTTTTTTAAATTATAAAAAATATATATAATTATGCTGCTTCATGAATGCAACTACAAAATATCATAATGTCTTTCATTTTAGCTAGAGGTGTATCCAATTAGGCTAGCTATTGTTATTCATCAACTGTGGCTTGATAATATCCTATCCATAGCAATATATATATATATATATATATATAATCTACCAAAGGCAGAATTAAAATAAAGAAAATATATACTTTTCAACATATTATCATATAATAATGACTTGATGTTCCAAAAAATTATTCTATGAGAAGATATTTTTTGTATCATCTATGTATATATCTGCCTTCTCATTTTTATTCATTGAATTAATCTTATAAAATGAATGAATCTATATGATTCACCTGTTGATTTCACAAGTCATTGTTTCATTTATAAAATTCTTCTTGATCTGATTTCCCCAGACACGAAGCATAGCCACACAAAGTAAACACATCAAAGTCTAAGAACAGCATGTTCTTTTCATATTCTCTCCTTTCATTTTCCATCAAATTAATTTAAATTTGTTGGCTGTTGAGAATAGTAGTATAATATGAACACCAATTTGCTAATATATTTATTGCTATATATATAATGTGCATATGTGATTCTACCATGAAGCTTCCATTGAAGCATATTAGCACATGCATTTGAATCAACAAATATATGTATATGAATTCAAAGGATAATTAAATTATTATTGCATTAGCTTTAAATTACTTATTAAAAAAAGGAGGAATAGAAGCACAAGATTGACTATCAAAAATAAATTGTTTGCCAAAAGTTTTTGTGGACTGAAAGAATTCCTTAACAAAATAATTGGACTTAGGCTCTTGGCCTTTCAAAATCGATATTAAAAGAATCCAATGAGACTTATAAATATGATAGGTTTTATTTGCAGATAAATCTTTTTTGTAATGTATGTTCTGATAATATATATACATATATGCTTTAAATTTTTTTTAATTTAGCTATGAGACATTATAAGGTGTTTTTGGAAAAAAGAAATAGAGCCAAGAATAATGTGATAATGAAGAGTTTGAAGTATGCTTGGAATGAAAATACAAAGAAAAAAATTGCGAAAGCTGTCTTTCAATTTGATAGTTTTTATTAGTTATCTAGCTGTAACAATGTTAGTTTCTCTGGCCAAAAAAAATCTTAGTTTCATTAACAAAAGATATGGTAAAATTTAAATTTTAAATGTTGACATAATATTCTCAAATATACAGTTGACATGCTAAGTTTAATTTTTTTAAAAAATAATGATAATTAGTACAAAAAATATCATTTGAAACTAATGATATTAACATCAGAGACCTGAAAAGATAATAAAATACATTTTCCGTATAAAATTTTATTAAATCCATATCATTTGCAAAATGTTTAATTAAGTTCTCGTTGTAAAAATGTTTTCCTCATTTATTAAAATTTATTGACATAATTAATTTTTTGCCAAAACATATATATGATAAAATATTTTTTTCATATTTTGAATATTTACTATCCATGGAAATAAAAGTCATCAATATATTAAGAATAAAATAAAATAAAATCGTATATCTTTATCTGACAAAATATTAACAAAGCTATAACAACAAAGACTAATTAATATAAATCTTTTTCAATCATTAGGACCTAATTATACAGATGAAAATACAAAAACAAATCGAAAACTATGTATAATTATAGGGACTTGGAGTATATGCTTCTTCCAAAGTATTTTAAATTTAGACATTTTTATGAATTTATTTTATTCAAACAAATGTCATCCTTTAGTTAAGTAATATATATATATATATATATATATATATCAAAACTTTATTTCATCTATTATATTTTGCTTCCATATTTTAAATCATGCGTGACGCATGATTTTGATTAGTTAATACCAACTAGTTAAAAAAAATGATGAGCAAGTTTCTTTGGATCTGAATAAAATGGAAGCGATCACATGCATGATGCATGCATTAATAAATCTTTGTGTTCTATCAGATTCTACTGATCAGTCATATTTTATTTAACCTAACAATAAAATATACACTGTATTTAGCTTTATAAACTACAAACAATACTATATAGTTTCTCATAGTTTGCACATGTATTGATCTGCTTAATATTTTAAATGAAATATGATATAGAAAAGTAAAAAATTTTAATTTGTAGAACAACGATATCTCAAAACAATTTCTTA